CGTGTGGCAGGTGGATTTGTCTGACCCACTGGCCTTGCTCCTCAGGTGGTGAGCACAGGTGGCAGCGGCCACGTGGAGCTGCTCAAGCGAGCGGGAGCCTTTCTAACGTATAGCTCGTTCTGTCCCCCGGATGACCTGGCTGACCGAGGCCTCCTGGGAGTCAAGTCTTGTTTCTACACCCAAGATGCCCTGGGGCTCTGGAAAATCATCTCTCGGTGAGGCAGGGGGAAGACACATCTGGGGTGGGGTGGGGATGGAGGCTGGGAGAACAGGAGGTCTGTGCGCCAGTTTGGGGGCGGTGAGCCCCGGCCTGGCTGTGCCCACGAGGAGCAGAGGGCCGGCGGGCCCCCTGTCAACCGCAGCCCTCTTGCCCTGGTCCCTGCGCTGGCAGCTACGTGGCGGGAATTGTGAGTCTCCACTATGAGACGGACGAGTCTGTGAAAGAGGACCTTGAGCTGCAGACCTGGTGTCGGGAGATCACTGAGGTTTGGCTGCTGGGGGCCCAGGACCGAGGTGAGATGAGCCCGGAGATCTCCCACACGAGAGATTCCTCCTGGGAACCCCCAAAATCCTCTCTACTTCTATGGAAACATTCAGAAGCATTTCCAACCGCTACAAAAACACCCAAAGCCTTCCCAAATTTCTTTTGCTCTCAACTAGAGACAGGTCCCCATCCTGTACACGGATGCAGTGGGACCAGTGGTTGTGTATAAACGTTTAACAACTGGCTCTCTAGGGGGAAATATGCCCTAATTTGTAGCCTTTGCCCATTTCCATGGTGTAAATATTCACACCGAGGCTTCCAAGGGGATGTCAGCCAGCCTGCTACATATCTGCACATTTGCCATCATTGGCCCTTGTGAGCCTGTATGAGCCACATCAGGACCCTGTGGGTGGGACCCACTCAGCAGAGCTCCCCACTGCCTCCACCCCAACCCCTGCTCATGGCACGTCCCACAATAGTTACCAAGAGTCCTTGGCGTCCTTCTCGCGTCTCTTGTTCTCCCCCTCGGTCCCTCTGAGCTCTGCCTCCGTCCCTGGCCTCATAGCTTCTAACTCTCCCTCCCCACTGCAGGGTTTCCCGTCTCCTTACAGTCCAAGCACCAGCTTTGCCACTTCGTGACTATGTGCATCTTCACCTGCACTGGCCAGCACTCCTCCAGTCACCTGGGCCAGGTGCTTATCACGGCAAGCAGCCGGGCATTTTCGCCTGGAGTGGGGAGGGCC